GACTGCTTTGTATTCATACGTCAAAATGTTTGTGTTTGCTCATGCAGGCGCATTTTGAGGTCCACTAGTCATGCTGCTGTGTTTAGAAGACAAAGTAGCTCGGCCTCGTAATTGTTCAGTCAACATCCTTGTGTTTTTCTCCCCTTTCTGCACCATGATTTGAAACCAGTCACGATCTCGTTGGACAGCATATTGGCATTTATCCCCTCTCGTTTCCCCGGTGATATGCAACGCTTCCAATTCTTGAAAAGGACAATGTCAATATAACCATGTCAAACGCTACCTCCATAATTAGATTTAAGTTCCATCACAATAAGAATCCGGTTTTTCAAAATCTCGGATGGCATTATTTGATCGGTTCTCTACACTCGTCACAAATACGTGACATTTTCTTAATAAATGCAATATTATTTGAGTTGGCCTCAAAAGAAGTTCTTGTTAAGCTGTGCAGAAATCAGGAAGGTACACTCACGAGTGTACTGTGCTGGACGAGTCACCACGGTGGACTCCGGGGTGAGAACAAAAGCTAGTCGACGCCTCTTCTTCTTCTCCCTTTCTCACCCTCCTCCCTTTAATTTGCCCACTACCGTCTATTGACATGGTTATGGAAGCACATCCTTTCAGTCAATTTGTTAATCAGTTTATTGGTTGACAGGAAATTAGCACTTTTTCCTATTCCTTTCTATATGCATCTCTTGAGATAATTGATTCCAGGATTATACATACAATCAGAGTTTATTATCGTAAATTAAACCCTTTCTTGTGTCGCGGTGCACAAAAGGCATTTTAGAAATTCCCAAGTTCGTCGGTGCATTTGAAAAATCTCACTTGCGTGGATTATGGCCGATTCGCTGCTTGCCGCTTTCTGCTACCATCTCATTAATTAAAAATAAGGGCTGACATAGAATACACAGATATTCCACTTACTCACCTGGATGTTCTCTCATTCAAACATTTTAAATTTTTTGCATTGGTCAATCTGTTTAAAGTTCTTATTAAGCTTTATGCTTTGCTATCATTATATTCCTCATGTTGTTGATGATGGAGTTGAGTTGTGAACGTCACCCTATTGTCATGTTTACAACCTGGCAATCATCTGGCCAAGTTGAAAGTAAGTAAGCAAGCAGATTTATTGGTATATCAGCATTTCAGGACTAAGAAAATCCACTAATCACAACGCTACTGCCTATTTATTGTGTTTTCGGTAATCTTTTCACTTCCTAACATTTAATCCGTAGCCGCTTACTTTATCAGGCATTAGCTTACTTCTGTGGCTTCATGCAGATTAATGTAGCGTCCCGAGACTCCCTGAAGACGAAAGAAGACAAAATACTCGGGCAGAATATATATATTCAGCACGGAGAAGGTGTCTGGGCTATTGGCATGGCCCAAAAGGCCAGCCCACCCAGCGGGGTACAAGAGGGCTAATTCGAAGTACAAAAGTGGCGCCTCACCAGAACCGAGGGATAAACCACTATCGTATTACATTAATGCTGGTTTGCCGCTTACCACTTTCTACTACCATCCGATTTATCAAAAATAAGAGTTGACAAGGAATATTCAGTTAATCCTCTTATTCACCTCGTTGTTTTGGTTTCTGCAATACTTGTTAATTGAATTGCGGTTGGTTGAAATCCTGGTGGCTTTGACTGATTTGGCTAGTCAACTTGTCCTCCTGAGCTTACGCCTGTAGCTTCATCAAATTTGTTCATAACATGACTGACCACTTTGAGTGTGCTTTCCCCTTGACCTCTGTCGGTTTTTGGGACCTTAGTTGTAGTGTTGGCTCACGCTTAAAGTGCAGGAAAGTGGAATTGCTACGTCAAATGAGAAAGTGGCCACTGACTGCAGTTTATTCATTCTTCCCAGTTTATCATTATCGTTGGAGGATGGACATCCATTTTTACATCAAACAATTTATGGTAGAGTAAAAGGGGTATTTCTAGACATGAAACCAAATAAACTCCCCTATGTGACATTCGTAGATCATCCATATGACAGTCACAAAAGGCCCACCATACCACTCAAAATGGCTAGTTTGTCAATCGTTTTTCGTTTATCCTTTACTTCCGACTACACCTAATTGAATCGTCTTTCACACATCCGCACGCGCACACATAAACAGGCGGCGGAGTCGAGTTTTGCGGAATTCGAGCAATGATGGAGCAAAGACAGGCAGAGGTGACGCAGAGCATTCAACACATAAGTGAGGAGAAAACTTCAGTAGCCTGCTAGTATGACACATTTTGATGTTATAATCTTCCTGTTTACAAAAAATGCGTTAATATTTATTGGATCCACTTTAACTGTGATGTGGTAGCCTCAACTACTGCAAAATATATTTGGTCATTCTTTCCTAGGAGGGAAAAGCACATTGCTAAGTAGCTGTTGTGTGTGTGTGTGTGTGGTTATATGCAGTAGACATCCACCAATTGGAGCCGATCACAGATGACAAGGTAACCTTACTCATCCCTCCTTCCCTCCCTCTTACCCTCAATAATCCATGGCAGAGGCATGCAAAATTCTGTAACGATAGCTAGCACACAGTGGCAAGCTCTGCCAATGGCAATCTCTCTCCCTTCCAAATCACTTTCACCCGTCCCCTCATTTCGATCTACATCAAATGAATGTGTGA